GGAAATTTTAAAAAAGGAAATTTTCAATTCCATTTATAAGAGCATCAAAAAGAATAAAATTACTAGGAATAAACCTAAGAAGGTAAAAGACTTGTACACTGAAAAGTAGCAAATATTGCTAAAATAAAATAAAGAAGACATTAATAAGTAGAAAAATATCCCATGTTCATGGACTGGAAGACATTATTGTTAAAATATCCTTATACCCCAAAGCAATCTACAAATTCAATGTAATCCCTATCATAATCCCAATGATGTATGTTTCAAAAAGAGAAAAACCTATCCTGAAATTCATATGGAATTACAAGGGACCCTGAATAGCCAAAAACAATATGGAAAAAAAGCAAAACTGGAGGACTTGCATTATCTCATCCCCAAACTTACTACAAAGCTACTATAATAAATACAGTATGGTACCAACATAAAAGCAGATATATAGGCCAATAGAACCTAAGATCCCAGAAATTATCCCACTAATATATGGTCAAATGATTTTCAGCAAGGGTGCCAAGTCCATTCAATAGAAAAGGACAGTTATTTCAACAAATAGTGTGGAGAAACCTGGCTGTCCATATGCAAAAGATGAAGTTGGACCTTTACTGTTCACCATATCCATAAAATTAACTCAAAATGGATCATGAAAGACCTGAAAATACAAAACTCTTGGGCAAAAAAAACAAACCAACAGAGAAACCTTCATGACATTGGATTTGGTAATTTCTTGGTTATGACACCAACAGTACAGGCAACAAAAGCAATATAGATAAATTGTACTACAGTCAAACCTCAATTCCCAAACATCTTCCATCTTGAACAATTCAGTTGCCAACCAAGTTGTTCACAGAAAAAATGTCTCAGTTGTTGAACAGAACTTCAGTTCTCAACCTGACCACTCTTTCATGCTGATACCTGTATGATTAGTGACCTGCATGATTCAGTTTTTGAACAAATCACCTGTTGAACAGCCTTCCAGAACAAATTAAGCTCAAGGATTGAGGTTCCACTGCACATCAAAATTCAAAGTGTTTGTGCATCAAAGGACATAATCAATATAATAAAAAGGAAACACACCGAATGGGAGAAAATATTTTCAAATATATATCTGATAAGGGATTAAAATCCAGAATACATAAAATACTTCTAAAACTCAAAACCAAAAACCCAATTCAAAAATGGGCAAAATACTTGAGTAGACATTTCACTGAAGACATACAAATGGCAAATAAGTACATGAAAAGATGCTCAACATCACTATTACCATGGAAAGGCAAATTAAAACTGTAATGAGATATCACCTTATACCCATTATGATGGTTACTCTTTTAAAAAAAAAACAGAAAACAAGTTTGACAAGGATGTGGAGAAATCGGAACACTTGTGTGATGTTGGTGGGATTGTACAATGGGGGATCCCCAAAAACCAGAATTTATTTATTAAAAAATGTGTATTTATCTTACATGTTTAAACTTAAGTCACCTTCAAAGTACTCTCCATTTGAGGCAATATACTTATCAAGATGTTTTTTCCACTGCTCAAAACAATTTTTTAATTCCTTGATTTTGATTCCTTTTACTGCTGCCATTTTTTTGTTTGTTTGTTTGTTTCACTTCTTCCACATCAGCAAAACATTTCCCTTTGAGGAATTTCTTTTCATCCAGGGAAACAAAAAAAGTAGTTGTTCAGAACAAGATCTGGCAAAGAGTAGGGCATGGGGGTGGGTCATACCATTTTTGGTCAAAAACTGCTGAACACTCAGCGTGGTGTGGGCAGGTGCACTCGTAAATCACACATCATGAAATGGGCAAATGTGTTGAAAGAGTCTTCAAAAAAATTCGCTGAAGCCAAATGCAGCTTCTAACAACAATGCCAGCTAGTACATTGATACAGATGGGTTCCTAGAACACTCACCTTGTGGGGGAAGTCTGTACTACAAGGGACCTGCCCTCAAGAAGATAATTCCAGTTTTTCAGGAGTCCCTCTCATAAAATGGTGCAACCACAATCGAAACAATATAGTGATTCCTCTCTGCACTCCCAAGTTCATAGCAGCATTATTCACAATAACCAGGAGGAGGAAGCAATCCAAGTGTCCATCAACAGATGAGTGGATAAACAAAATGTAGTATACACAGTCAATTATCATTCTGCCTTAAAAAGGAGAGAATCTTGTCACATGCTAAAATGTACATGAACTATGGAGACATTGTGCAAGGTGAAATATGCTAGTCACATAAATACAAATAATGTCTGATAACATTTATATGCGGTATCTAAAGTAGTCAGATTTATAGAAACAACATGTAAAATGGTAGTTACCAGGGCATGGGGAGAGGGAGAAATGGGAAGTTGTTTAATAAGTATACACTGTCAGTTTTGAAAGGAGAAAAATTCTGAAGATCTGTTGCACGGTAACATTTAATACTACTAAACTGTACACTTAAAAATGGTGAGCATGGTAAAAAAAAAATGTGTTTTTTATAAATAAAAAAGTTTAAAAAATACACATAGTGTGGTCTTAAAAGTTTAGACTTTTAATAAAGTTTGTTTCTACAAGTATATATTTTTCACAACTTCGTTATGTTTTCTCTCTAAATCCGTATGATATGGGAGTAGCAAACTCTATACACTTCAAAATTCTAATTAAGAATTTTATTGGAATATTGGAAAGGATATTTTCTTTTCTTTTTTGTTTTCAAATTGTATGCTACATGTAAGAAAGTTAAATAATTCACTTATAACATTCCATTATAATAAAATATTCCAGTAACAAAAAATATAATATTTAATTAATAAAATGTTTGTTAAAAACACTTTGAATGGGAGGACTTCTGGCCAAGATGGAGGCATAAGTAGACCAGTTTTGATTCCTCTTACAACCGAAGGACAATAACAAATTTAAAAACAAAAACAACCAGAACTGCCAGAAAATCGAACTGTATGGAAGTCCAACAGCCAAGGAGTTAAAGAATAAACATTCATCCAGACTGGTAGGAGGGGCAGAGATGTGTAGCTGGGGTGGAGAGGATGCAGGACATGGCGGTGGCTGGAAGACGGGGTGGGCGAGACAGCGGCTGGTATACTGGGCGATCCCACATCCACATATGGATAAGCTGGAAGGGAACAAAACAGATGGGGGGCTCCAGCTTAGGAAACTAAAGCCTCAAAACCACTGGTGGTAAAAATCTGTGGGAGCTGCAGCAGTGGGAGAAACTCCCACCCTCACAGGAGAGTTCATTGGAGAGATCCATGGGGTCCTAGAACATACAAAAACCCTCCCACTCAGGAATCAGAACTAAGAAAGCCCAATTTGCTTGTGGGTAGTGGGGGAAGTGACTGAAAGTGGGGCAAAAGTAAAGCAAGTGGCATTGTTCCCTCAGACCCCTCCCCCACATATAGCACCACCAACGAAGTGACCTGTGTTGCCCTGCCCTGGTAAATACCTAAGACTCCATCCCTTACAACATTACAGGAGTGCTGAGACAAAGAAATATAGTCCAAATGAAAGAACAGATCAAAACTCCAAAAATAGACCTAACGGAAAAGGAGATAGCCAACCTATCAGATGCAGAGTTCAAAGCACTGGTAATCAGAATGCCCACTGAAATGGTTGAGTACAGATGCAAAATGGAAGAAAAAGTGAATGCTATGCAAAGTGAAATAAAGAAAAGTATACAGGGAACCAGCAGTGAAGGGAAGGAAACCAGGACTTAAATCAGTGATTTGGAACAGAAGGAAAAAAATAAACATTCTACTGTAACAGAATGAAGAAACAAGAATTCAAAAAAAAATGAGGAGAGTCTTAGGAACTTCTGGGACAACATTAAATGTTCCAACATCCAAATCACAGGGGTGCCATAAGGAGAAGAGGAAGAGCAAGAAATTGAAAGCTGTTTTGAAAAAATAATGAAGGAAAACTTCTCCAATCTAGCCAAGGAAATAGACTTCCAGGAAGTCCAGGAAGCTCAAAGAAATTGGACTCAAGGAAGAATACACTAAGACACAGCATAATTAAATTACCCAAGATTAAAGATAAGGAGAGAATCTTAAAAACAGCCAGGAAAAGGAGACAGTTACCTACAAAGGAATTCCCATCAAACTATCAGCTTATTTCTCAAAAAATCCTTACAGGCAGGAAGGGGGTGGGAAGAAGTATTCAAACCCATGAAAGACAAGGACCTACATCCAAGATTACTCTATCCAGCAAAGCTATCATTTAGAATGGAAGGGCAGATAAAGTGCTTCCCAGATAAGGTCGAGTCAAAGGAGTTCATCATCACCAAGTTCTTATTATATGAAATGTTAAAGGGACTTATAGTAAAAAAAAGGAAAAGCTCAAAACTATAAACAGTAGAAAGACAACAAATTCACAACTATCAACAACTGAACCTAAAAAACAAAAACAAACTAAGCAAACAATTAGAACAGGAACAGAATCACAGAAATGGAGATCATATGGAGGGTTATCAGCAGGGTGAGGGGAGATTGGGTGAATGGTACAAGGAATGAGAAGCATAATTGGTAGGCACAAAATAGGGGGAGGTTAAGAATAGTACAGGAAATGGAGAAGCCAAAGAATTGACATGTATGACCCATAGACATGAACTAAGGGATGGGGAGAATGCTGATGGCAATGGGCTTCAGGGTAGAAGGGGATAAAGGGGAGAGAAAGATGGGGCAATTGTAATAGCATAATCAATAAAATGTACTTAAAATTTTTGTACAAAAAACCCTATTGGGCAAGTTGTAAATGAATTATTAAAATGTGAACTAAAAAAAATTCATTATTCAGTTATTAGATTCCCCTGGTTGAACTAAGTATAAGAATGACAAAAATAATAGGGGAGGTGACTGTAGGATTTCCACTGTATTCTACCTAGTAAATTGACAAATTTTTTTTAAAGTTTCATTGGGGTATGTACAAGTGTTCCGGTAATCATACTTACAAAGCAATTAGCAGAAATTGTATTTGTATTTGACTCATGTCTTATCATTTTTTAACAGAACTCCTGGGACCTTTGAACAGAGGGGATACACTAGCTGAAGATTTTCTTGGCCTGTCATTAACAACGCAAGGAGAAGACTCATTTCCAGATAACCTCCCTACCTTTTGTTCTATCCATAGTCATATTATGCAACAAAGAACACTGAATGCTTCGTCTAACAGGTAAGATATGTTGAACTTAGAAAATTGCTGCATAAAGGAAAAGTATTTAGTATTAAACAATTTAAAGATTCCTCTTTTAAATGTAAACTAATAGTTAAGCAATGATATTTCAAAATGTCACAGGAAATGTGCATTTTCTCATGTCTAAGGCTTTGCAGTATTTGGGTCATGCAACAGCAGGCATGATGGAGACAGAATTGAATGTAAACAAAAAACTTTTAGAATATTATTTGAGCCCAAAATAAAATTATTATTAATGTACTGAATTATTTGTATTCTCTTGTTAAAAATTTTAGGATTGTTAAATTATTAGATTAAAATATTACTTTTTTGAATATTTAGTTTGAATTATATGTTATACCAAGCTTGCCATTAGTTTTTGGAATCTGATAAAAGGTCATTTAATATCATTCAACTTGCCACATTGGGTTATTGAGGAAATAAATATAATGATAAAAGTGAAATTAAAAACACTAAATAGTGTTATTTATAATGAAAATTATAATGTTAATTATGATGACGATAATACTCTGAAGCAAAGATCAGAAGACTTCTTGTGTAAAAGGCCATACATCATGCTTGTTGGCCATACAGACTCTCGCAATTACTTGTAGCATGACAGCAGCCAGAGAAAATAAATGAATGAGAGTGGTTGTTAGCGTTTACAAAACAGGAAGTGGGCAGGATTTGTAGTGTGGTCTGTAGTTTGCATACTTGCTCTTAAAGATCCCAACTATATGCAATAATTGTGAACAGACCACATTCTTCATATATATGTGATGTGTATGAATATGTGATATATATCATATATGAAATACATGATATATGGCAATCTGTGATGTTCTAGGAGACTGCTCCCATTCTCCTGCCACCCCCAAACTAGTTAAGAACCTTGTGCTTTCAGTAGGGTATGACAGACTGTGAAAACCAATAGCTGATCTGATTTGGAGATTAAGAGTGGAAAAACCCCATTCAGCAAGCAGCATTGTCAGTAAAAGTAGCAAACTCACGGTCAGTAAAACAGTAAAAGTAACAAAGTTGATAGTTCATGAACAGAAAAGGCCACAGTTCTACTAGCTTGCTTATTAGGTCAAGTCACAGAATGGCAGTCCAGTCAGAAATTTAACAGGGAGATCCTGGAAATGGGAGAACCAAAGAGGGGCTAATTAAACTCTGCACATTCCTGATGCAGTTATATGACCTCATATTTGGGCTCTCTCTTGTTTTGCAGAAAGTAAATTTCCCCCTTATACGTCTTTCTTCCTTCACATCCAATTGCCAAAGGTGCCTCTTTTTGCCTTTGATCACCCACCTATCCCTTCTCCCCAAAAGCCCCTTCAAGTTGCATGGTAGTTTTAATTTTAGGCCCCTTCCTGTAGTCCATGCTCTGATCTAGAATACCAGGAGTTGGAGAGATCATAAACTGGGATTTGGTGGTTTTTCCATTTTATGTACACTTATTATGAATTGTGGACATTCTGTCTTCAAGTCATGCCCAAAGTGTGGTGTTCATGTAGTTCCATTTCTTCCTTTCTTCTGTTTTGTACTGTTTATAAAGGAAGTATTGGGAGGTGAAAAGGAAGGCAGCCACTATTATCGTATATTCAGCTGGCTGGAAGTCATCACTCAGTTTACTGTTTTAAAAATAGTTTTACTGAGGTATAATTTACATATACCATAAAATTCACCCATTATAATTATACAATTCAGTGATGTCTAGTAAATTTGTAAAATTTGCAACTACTACCAAATGTTTTAGAACATTTCCATCACCCCCAATAGTTTCTTTGTGCCAATTTACAGTCAACTCCCACTCCCACCTGAGCCAATCATTGGTCTGCTTTCTGTCTTGGAGAAATTTTATATAAATGAAATCATACAATCTGGAAATTTCATATAAATGGAACCACACAAAATGCTGTTTTTTATGTCAGGTTTCTTTCACTTAGCATTATGTTCTGGAGGTTCATACATGTCACATCACACAGTTTATTCCTTGTTAATTGTGAAATAGAATGATATTGCATGGATATTTATCTACTCACTTACCAGTGGATTGATATTTGAATTATTTCCATTTTTGGCTATTATGAATAATGTTTCTATAAATACTGACATATAAGTCTTTGAGTTGTCTTATGTTTTGTTCCACTTGGGTAGATTTGTAGGAGTAGAAGAGCTGGATTATATTGTAAATTTAATATTTGTTAGTTTTAAGAAATTGCCAAATTTTTTTTTCAAAAATGATTACATCATTTTATATACCCACCAGCAATGTATGAGTGCTCCAGTTTCTCCACATCCTCGCCTATGCTAGGTATTATAACCATTCTAGTTGGTGGCAGAGTAGTAGCTCAGTGTGATTTAATTTTCACTTCCCTAATGACTGATGATGTTGAGCATTTTTATATATTTATTAGCCATTAGTATATCTTCTTTGATGAAATATTTATTCAAAACTTTTGTCCATTTTTAATTGAGTTCTCTTATTGTTGAATTATCAGAGTTCTTTATATACTCAGAATATAAGTCCTTTATCAGATATAAAATTTTTATTATTTATTTATTTATTTAAAAGATAAATTCACCTTTATTTTTATCGCAGCATTATTTAAATAACCAAGATATGGAAGCAACCTAAATGCCCATCAGTAGACAAATGTATAAAGAAGAGATGGTACATATATGCAATAGAGTATTATTCATCCATAAAAGAATGAAATCCTACCATTTGCAGCAACATGGATGAACCTAAAGGGCACTATGCTAAGTGAAACAAGTCAAGCAGAGAAAGACAAATACCTATGATCTCAACTGGATGTGGAATCTAAAGAACAAAACAAATAAACAAAATTGAAACAGACTAATAGATACAGAGAACAAACTGATGGTTCCCAGATTGGAGAGGGGCTAGGTCAAAAAGGTGAGGAGGTTAAGAAGTTACAAAATAGTCATATGGATGTAAAGTACAAATAGCAGATATAGTAAATATTTTTTTACCTTCATATTAATGTTTATTCACACTTTCTGATTATAGAATAAAAGCTCATGAAAAACTTTTGGGAAACTGAAAACACATTTTTTTTTTTAAAAATCCTGTTTATTCTATTACAGTCTCAATTTTTCTGCCTTGCCCTCCTCCACCCATCCAACCACTTTGGCCCCGTTCCCATAGTCAATTCATACACTGTTGTCCATGTCCATGGGTCATTCCTACATGTTCTTTGTCTAGTCCCTTCCCTTTCTTTCCACCACTGACCTCCTTCCCCATCCCCTCTGGTCACTTTCAGTCCGCTCCATGTTTCCATGCTTGTGGTTTATTTTGTTCGTTAGTATATTTTGTGAATAGATTCCACTTATGGGTGAGATCATATGGTATCTGTCTTTCACTGACTGGCCTATTTCACTTAGCATAATATTCTCCAGTTCCATCCATGTTGTCGCAAAAGGTCAGAGTTCCTTCCTTCTTTTTCATTTTTTTAAAAATGCAGATTGATTTTATTTACTTATTTCTTAAATGTCAAAATCCATTATAAAATATTAAAAATTTAAATCCATTATAAAGTCTCAGCAATTAAAACACAACACCAGCACAGATATAATCAAGTAGATGAATGAAATAAAATGAGCATTCTAGAAACGAATGTATATATCTGTCTAACAATGTGATATATGATTAAATTGATATTTCAAACCAATGGGAAAAATAAGGCTTATTCAACAAATAAGGTGCATGGACCACAATTACTTGAAATAAAACAAAGATAGAGTCCTATTTCACACATTATATAAAAAAAAATCACCTGAGTTAAAAATCAATATGTATAAACTAAGGAGTTTAGGAGAAAATACAAAATAATATTTTTCCTACCCTGAAGTAAAATATTCAAACTCAGAAGCTATAAAGTAAATATTGAAAGTCTGACTATATTAAACACTTGAGACTATACAGTAATATACATATTTTAAAAAGTTAAAGGACAAGTAATAGAATAAGAAAGTATTTGCAACATATCTGAAAAAGGGTTAATAGGGTTTTTAAGGACAAAATTCTACAAACAATCAAAAAATGGATAAAGAACACCAAAAAGCCATTTAAAGCTTTTCTAAAAAAATAGAAATAGTCAAGAAATATACTAACCCCCCCCCCCCAGGAGGGACTCTGCCATGCTCTGTTGTAACTCAGTTGGCCAGCTTAGTACAGAGAGACTATCAACTGAAGGAGACAGCCACAGACAGCAGATTCCTGGAAGTCTCGAACAGACTGCCTAAGATCAGACAGGGTCAACATCTGACATCATCAGAGGCAGATCCAGAAAGAAAAAAACAGCGGTCTCCTACCATAGAAATTCACGCCACAAAGTCGGGAAATCAAGACAGATCAACTTAAGAAGCAGAAGCAAAAGAGAAGAGTCTCTATCAAATAATGAGAAGACAAAGAAATACGCTCCACTCGAAGGGAAAGGAGGAATCCCCAGAAATGGAACTAAATGAAATAGAGGCAAGTAAACTATCAGATATTGAGTTCCAAACAACGGTTCTAAGGAAGCTCAATGAGCTCGGCGAGCTCTGAGAGAATTACCAAAAACTACAGGGAAACTACGAGGAACTTACTGCAAACTACATCAGCAGGAAAAAAGGACATGGAAACTATCAATAAGACACAAGAGGAAATGAAGAATACCATTTCTGAATTGAAGAACACAGTAGAAGGAATCCAAAGCAGGCTAGATGAAGCTGAGGACCGAATCAGTGAGCTGGAGGACAAGGTAGAAAAACGCTCCCAGAAAGTGCAAGAATATGAAAAAAGACTCACAAAGAATGAAGAGGCATTGAGGGAAATGCAGGACAACCTGAAACCTAATAATATCCGTATAATAGAGATACCAGAAGGAGAGGAAGAGGAACAAGGGATAGAGGACCTGTTTGAAAAAGTCATGATAGAAAACTTCCCTAGTTGGAGGAGAGACAAAGTCACACAAGTCCAGGAAGCACAGAGGGTCC